GCCCAAGAAAGACTTTCTGGTTTTTAGCCATAGTTAAGGCGATTATTGTCAGTTGTATTCTTGACCCTTTTGTCAGGTCGATGTCAGTTCAGTGGCCAGATGGCTCTACTCTATTATACTCTTTTTAGTTTTTATTAATAAATCACATAATAAATCACAGTTATCTGCCAAATGAATTATTTGGCAAGGTGACTTTTTAATTGGTTCTCCTAAGATTTTCGACTCATAAGTAAGCTAATGACTGTTGTGAGCTTTGAAAATGTCTTATAAGAATAGTTTACCCAGAAATTTACTCACTCAAGCCAAGATTTAGAATAGATTTAGAGAAATTACAACACATTACATCATGTGCTCACCAATGGATTCTCTGCAGTGAATGGGTGCCGTCAGAATGAGTCTCCAAACAGCTGATTAAAACATCACAATAAACTGCAAGTAATCCACACAAAAAAGATGCATGTTTGTAATAAACAAATATGTCCTCAATCCATAATATTGCTTTAAAGTCGTCTCGTCTGAATCAGGAGAGAACGATGCACAGATCAAGCACAGAAGCAACAGTTTAAAGTTAAAATGATTTAATTATGGATTATTTATTACAAACACAGCTTTTTATTTCACAAGATTTTAGTTGATGGACTGGAGTCATGTGGATAACTTGTGTAATATTGTGATGTTTTTATCAGCTGTTTGGACTCTCATTCTGACGGCACCCATTCACTGCAGAGGATCCATTGGTGAGCAAGTGATGTAATGCTAAATCTGTTGCGATGAAGAAACAAACTCACTTACATCTTGGATGGCCTGAGGGTGATCACATCACATGTTTATTTTGGGGTGTACTGTTACTTTAAATTCACACATAAATTCATTCTTGGAGTGGTCAGTCTTTATATGGCAGCTATTTACAACTTCCAGTTAATGCCAATACATTCAAGTCAAATGAAGCTTTTGCTTATGTTCTTCTCAATGTCATATCTGGTACATCCATTCATAGTATTTTCATATGCACAAATCCAATGTGAAAGCACAAATGGCTGCAATTGTATATTGATCTCATGCTGCCTAAGATAGATTTGTGCTTAAATGCTATAGCTATGAATTTTCCGATTGCTCTAAGACGGGCTTCCTTGAGGGGGTCGAACATCATGCAAGACTAAACTCGATAGGATTTAATGTGAGTGGCCACAGGTGAGTGGCCACAGGCCACAGCTGTGATGAGTTCAATGGCTGTCAAACATAAATCAACACAGACAGCCCTAGGGCTAAAGTATGCCGGGGAATAGGCACAAATCTTAGGATACTGGAGATAATGGAGCCGCAGCCAAGCAGGGCCTGAAGATCCTTGATTTGAAACGGTGCGTGCGTGTGTACGACAGGAACGTGTTTTTCATGTCTGAAACTCTGCATTCGCTTCCCATTCGGAGTAAATAAGATGTCTTGCATTGGTGACGAAGCATGATTTCGATATCAAGCTTTTAATCTTCTCTAGAAAGACACGGGGAACGAGCATGTCATAGCAGCCTATTTCAGTTCCCACAAAGCTATTCAGAGGGGAAGCAATTTCTCATTGAACATGACAACCACATTACATACCCACAAGAGGAAATTGAAGCCCACAAATTGAATTTACCTTACAGAATCACAGAGATGTGCACTTCGGATGTTGATGTAAATGCAAGCTGAATTGTGTATCTTTAGCATGAAGCTGTTTTGTGCTGGAGATACTCGCATGTAGTTCATCATGTGTTTTTTATGTTTCAATGGGGTTATGTTGCATTCCAGTCAACTCGGAACTTGGAAGAGAAGAAACTGTTGAAGAAAGTCGTTATTTTTGTTTTCTTTGCACACAGAAAGTATTCTAGTAGCTTCATAAAATTATGGTTGAACCACTGATGCCACATGGACTATTCTAACAGTGTCCTTACTACCTTTCTGGGTCTTGAACGTGTCAGTTGCGTTGCTGTCTATGGAGGGTCAGAAAGCTCTCGGATTTAATCAAAAATATCTTCATTTGTGTTCCAAAGACGAACACAAATTAATCAGCCTTGCTGATTTGGAACGACATGAAGGTTTCCATTTTGGGTGAACTATCCCTTTAAATCTAAAGAAAAATGAAGATTAAACATTATTTTTCTTAAGATTAAGGTGGATGGGGACATGGACAGCAGTAGTCCCTAATCACTTTCATTGTATAAAAATAGAACAGCTTGTTTACTTTGAAATATATATAGTGTTCCACAGAAGAATTCAAATCATACAGGTTTGGAACGACATGAGGGTGAGTAAATAAAGATTTTTTATTTTGGGGTGAACTGTCCCTTTAAATTCCCATTTCGTAGATATTGAATTTTGTCATGCCATATGTTCAGGTTAGAATGCCAAATTGGTTTTATTATATATATATATTTGTCACCAAAATATGCTCAAAAATAGACAAAGCCACAAAGCTCAGTTATATGTGAGGCACAGGGACACAGTACTACAGGGAATATTTTTAATATTTACTGTGCAGCTGTGCTTGGCACAGGAATATAAAAGACTCTATTGTTACCTTAATTTGAAATATTCATATTCAAAGTCAATGCATAAAGTTGTGTCCGATTGAAGGAACAAATTATGCAAAGGCCAGATAAGGATAATCTTTTCTCAGCCCTCAGTGTCACCGCATGATGTAATTTTAAAATGATAACAGTTCTTAAAACCAGGTAAGACTGTTGAAAACAGTTGTGTTGCTTAATAGTTCTGTGGAAACTGTGATATTACTATTAAAAAATAATAAAAATAATACTTCAGCAAGGATGCATTAAATTCACCAAAGTAACAGTAAAGACATGTTGCAAAAAATATTTCAAATAAATGCCTTTCTTTTGAACTTTCTATTCATGAAAAAATATGGAAAATGTATCATGGTTTCCTTAAAAATATGAAGCAGCGCAACTTGTTTTTAGCAGTGATAATAGCAAAAATGTTTCATTAGCAAATATATTATGGCATTATCTGAGAAAGGGATTCATTTACATTGAATCTAGTTATAGATTAGATCAATGTAACTAGTATAGTGGTTTTACCTGTGGTTACTATATGATCAGTTTTGGGGAATTTTACTTTTAAAAGCAATTGCGTTACTCCCTAAAAAAGTAACATTACTTTTAGTTACTTTTTATGGAAAGTAATGTTACATTACTTTTGCATTACTTTTTCTCATCTGACTTGGCTTCGTTTTTCTCTCTTCAGAAATAAAAAAAGAAGCACAAATGATATGTTGTCTAAAGTCATATTTGCTTATTAGTATGGTTGAATTGGATTATCAAAGGTCAGCAGCAAAGACATTGATTAATAAAATGTTTACATAACAGATAATTGTGTTATTTAGCCTAACATTTAGTTATTGCAGGTTTGTGTCATATTCTGAGTTTGCATTTATAGCCTACTGTTTTAATTCATTCTGAGAGAACCTAAATCTGTTTTTGTGCAAGTGAGATAAGTAAATGTATGTTGACATTTAGTCTAGAACTATAATAACCATCATGTTTACACAGTGCTCATAAAGTCTCTGCACTTACTCCCGATTTCTCTCAACATGAGGACAGGAGAGCTGCCAGTCAATACATGGGAAACATTCTGGCATTAGTTATTTGAAAAAGTAACTCAGATATAAAAGTAATGTGTTAAAGTAATCTGATTGCGTAACTTGTGTTACTTATAATGCATTACTACCCCCGACACTGACTATGATCCTACTATAACTATTTTACTCTGCAAGAACTGTGGTAAATCTTCATAATGGAGCAGCAGACCGTTCCAGGTGTGTGTGCAGTCTGAAACACCTTGTGCATCCTCATAAAAAGCTCTCTCTATTCAGTCATGTGGTGGCAACAGGCTGCAGAATCAGACTGACCCAATTAAAACAGCGTCCTCAGCTCAGGGCCTCAAGGCAGCTTGCAGTTGTGTGGTTTCACTGATAAGCAACATGGAGCAAAGAAGCCGCTGTATTATTACCTGGTTTTTGTGCTGACACCCCCTTAAGGCCTCAGTAATGGCAGCCACAACAGGACATTTGCAAAGGGTAATAAGCTCATTAACTGATTCAGCATGGATGTGGCTTTTTGTGTGCTATCAATGCACCCTGCACCTTCTTGTCTGGATCCTAAAGGCTATTTTAGAAAACAGGTAATTGTAATAGTATATTGCAAATTAGTGGATTCTGATGGTTATCTCGGGTGTGGAATCAACCTGAGAGAAATCTGAAAAGTTTTCTTTCATCCCGATCGAGGGTGAGAAACTTCTGTACTTTCATGGCAATTAAAGTGCAAGAGAAATGACAAACGTTGCTTTTACAGAGGTGTAAATGTAGGCAACATTGAAGCAAAATATTGGGATAATGAGTCATGTATATTCTTTTAACGGCAGATTCGTCTTTAGAGCCTCACTATAAGAAGCTGTTTGCTAGCAATGCCACCTAAAGCTCAACATAATGGAACAGCGCCATCTTGAGGCTAAATAAATATATCAAGGGTGTTTTTAGTAACATTCTTACATTTCAAACCATTTCATTTTTTTTACCACTCTCCTGCTTAATCCTGTTTTTGTTTTCTTTTTTGGAAGGAACATGATATTAAAAGCTGGCAGAACACCTTAGCTACCAGATGGACATGCCAGCTAAAAAGGATAGTTCACTCAAAAATGAAAATGAAGTCATCATGTACTCACCCCTTGTGTTGTTCTATGCCATATGCGCTTCTTTATATTTCAGACCACAAACGGAGAAATTAAAAGAAATGTCCCACTCGCGAAAGCTTTTATTACAGCTTTTTTAAATTAAAATTTAAAATGAAAGCTATCTTAATTATTATAAATAAACGTGTATAGATATCTGACCGTGTAAGGCACAATTAATCTTAAATTCTTTGGAGCAATGTACAATTAAATAGAATTGAACTGAATTCGCCCGGCTGTTTAATGCGCGTCCTCCAGTCCGGTAGATAGCGCTGCGCGTATATCAACTTGGTCCTTCAAGAGAAGTTGTTTTGAAAACGCCAGTGTTCAAATACACACAGTCCAGAAAGGGGACATCGGCTTTAATCATTTAACCCTCTCACTAGTAGGCCAGCCGGGTTGTCGTCATTATCGGTAAGCGTTTCCGTCGATGTGTTTTCCCCGCTTCCCGTCGGTTTGCCTTCATAAACACATAAATCAGTCCGGTCTGTAACATTATATGCTAGTGTTGTGCTAGTAATGAATAGCTCCTTCATTTTAAGGATGTGTCTTGATGGAACAGTCAAGATAAAATATGGATAAATAAAAGAAATGTTCGTTTGTTATTGAGACCGAACATTTGTGTGTCTTGCACGTTAAATACAGCTTGATGGGTCGTTAAATAAATGTAGAGGCACTTGCTGTAACTAAAACAGTTTACATTTGAACAAATCGGCCATTGCAGTATGTTAAGATGTTAAAATTAATGATTTAATTTTCAACTAATATTAAAACTAAGCTTTAGCCTTTTATGAATATGCATATCATCTCAAACGGCTCATAGTAAATATGCTACTATTTAGCCTAGTAAATAATGCAGTTTACGTTAATACAGCTTATATTATCAACGTAACATCCAATGAAAAACTGATTTAAAAATATATGTATATTATTTTATATATTTTTTTATATATATATATATATATATATATATATATATATTAAAAGATTGTTAATTGTGTAATCTATTAGTACTAATATTAATTATTTATACTATTATCTTTTAAATGTAATTAGCTATATTACTATTAATTTAATAACATCTTACTACTTGAAATGTCCCTCTTTTGCTTTAAAAGCAGCATGAAATCCACTAGATGATATTGACTGAATGTAAATTGCACTCATACTTCCAATGATAAATGTTTTGTCTCTTTCAGATCAACTTAATGCTGTGCCCTTAGGCCAGCGTTTCAAATGAACATGTCTCTTGCTCAAAGAGTCCTCCTGACATGGATCTTCACACTTATATTCCTTATTATGCTGGTCCTGAAGTTGGACGGGAAGATCTTTTGGAGCTGGTTCCTCATCTTCCTTCCTGTCTGGACCTTTGATCTTATTCTCCTCCTCATGCTCATTGTCAAAATGGCAGGCCGCTGCAAGCCGGGCTTCGACCCTCGCAACGGGGCGGAGAACTTGAAGAAGCGCGTGTGGTACCTCGTGGCCATGCTGCTTAAACTGGCATTTTGTCTGACGCTCTGTGCCAAATTAGAAGGCCTAATGGACATCTTGGTGAGCTCGGTTTGCGTCCCTCTGTGGGCACTGCTCATCGGAGCTATGGCCGAACTGGGCTACAACGTTTTCCACTTCAGAAGAGACTGAACATATGAACGGTATTCTTTGAAAGCCAGCAGAAGTCTTTACTGTATTCTTCAGGAATAAAATCATCTTGAAAGTAGATGTTATTTATTAAAAAGGGAATATATAATGGACAATAAGAATGTACAGCTGTTTCGAGCTCTTTATCAGGAATTGCTTGTTTCTTTCAGGCTCAAGAGTGACTATGCTGAATAGCCTACGTTTCATGTTCACAGTGATGCAGGGAGGGTTACGTATTTAGGCTCAGTGGTGAGTTTCCACTCAGGTGACTGATTGTGAATGTTGCTCAGAATATTTATTGCATTTTAGTGAAACCACTGAGATCATTAGCAGCATAACATAATGGACATTTGAAAAATAACCGTTAACGTGCTGCATACACACTGTTTGTTCAACCAGTACTGTAACACAACATGGTTTGCTTACTGAAAAGACATGCGTTCTACAATAATGGTGTATATTTATGAATCTGTGTTTCTTTACATGCACTTATGTTTTGCATTGCAGAATTTACGTAATACATGTTTACAAAATGCAATTTTAATTTTCTCTTGTGCAGAGTCTGTAAATAATAATAATAAAAAGTAATAACAGCATCCTTGTAATTAAAAGATACATATTTATTTTCTTTATGACAAGTATGTTCAGTAAGTGCACAGTTATTATATTTTAAAATGTTTCCAAGATCATGCAGAAAAGGAGTTACAATTCTGCGGGGAGTAAAATATGTATTTCTAGAAGAAATATAGTAATTTATTCATTAGTTAATTTTAAGTAATTAAATTATGATCCTCCTTTTTAACTGAAATTGACATTTCCTCTTAGAAAGAGTCGTCTGTCTTTTTGGGGTGTACATACAAGCAATGTTTGAAAATAACACTTAGTGTTAATTCTAAATTCCTACAATGTACAATGAAAATAATAGAAAATTACAGATGCTTTTATTTGTATTAAAAAAAATTGGCATCTGAAATTCTGCAAATATCCATGTAAACGTAGTAGTCATGGATTGGCCCAGACTTACAGACATTTTAGTGTTTGTAAGTTAAAAAAATACAAGATAATAGCTGAATCTGTAAATAGCATGGTTTCATGTCTTATGCAATTCAGCATATTCAAAGCAACACAAGAGGCTCAGTTGTGTATTCTATGTATTCTACTAATGCATATGTGTACAGCTCAAAAAAACAACAACAACATAGATACAGAAACATTTATCAATGTTTATTCAAGTTCTGACACCACACTGATATTTTCTATTAAAGCAATAAACACGAGTAGCAATATACTTAAGGCACTTGCCTTTTTTGTACCATCTAACTTCAAAAGAGAGCTTAATTTTTGTTGGTAAGTTTTAGAATTGGTGGGTATAATATTACTTAGCATAGTTTTTAGGTCTAATCATCATTTTAACAGTCTTAAAAGATTGTCTGTCATTGGTTGGGTAATATTCCATTGTAATGTTGTGCCACGTACCCCAAAATATCCCATTACGTACCCCTTTGTACTTTGATTGATAATATCTCCCATTTAGGTTTGCAGACATGCATGCATCAAACCACCAGCCTGAGCTGTAATAGGCCCCGCAGTTTCCAGAGGGATACTGGTCATTGTCTCTGTCCGGAGTGGTAAAGAGCTTCTGGTCGTGATTGTAATTCTTACTAAACTGCATGGCATTACCAGCTGTACCGGAGTAACCACCAATGGACAGGCGGTATTGTTGGCTTTCATTGGCCACATAGAAGTGGTCATAATGAGCATATTCTTTGATACCCTCAAAGTCTTCGATTTCTATTCGCAATGATATGTTCTTCGCCTTTGTCAACAAGTGAATCTTGTCATTGCCAAGCCAAAACTCCCCTATTAGTTTACCAAATCCATTCTTGTACTCGTCCCATGTGCGATTGAAACTTGTGCTGCCATCAAAGCGATGCTGTATCAAAGTCCAGCCCCCACCAGAAGACTCCATGTCACAGAAAACAGGAAACATGCTGCTCTTTGGCTGCGGCGTTACTCCATATACACCATTCCTTCGGGATTTCGTAATGTAATCAGCGCAGTCTTGTGCAGGTCCTTTTTCTGTGGTCAATAAAAACTGTTTTAGGTTACCTCATTCTTTGTTTATGAAAAATGCATTTACAATGTATAAACAGCCTAAATCTGCATGCTTAAACATCTTAAGGAGCATTTCTTTGCCATTGTTATCTTTCAACTAGAGAAGCTTTAAGGCACTTTTATTTGTAAAGCTACTTTGAAACCATATTTATTGTGGAAAGCCCAATACAAATAAATTCAATTGGGTTGAAATTGAAAAAATAAACGTTCAGCTGAAAATCTGGATCTTATGAATTTGTAAACGAATGCAGAGCAAGATGATGCACTGAAATTGTTTTCTATCCGTCTTTGTTGTTAGACCCAAACAACGAAGCTGCATTCAACAGACTATACTTAAGGTTTCGTTTAGAAGATATGCAAAAGCTGTTTTATACATAGACATTTGGACCACCTGGATTTTATTTATCCACGGTTTCAAGAGTTTACATTGGGCCAAATTTCAGACTCCATTCACCGGAAAAGTAAATTTAGCACTAGGCATGGAATGGTACTGAACTTCTGCGTGCATTAATTATGCATTGCAAAAAAGACTTTGCCTTTGAGCCTTCCCTCAAGCTCAACAAAGACACCACATCCTGATATATCAGACAAAAGAAGAGGACTACAGCTGGTCCTCTTCACAAAAACCACAACATCTGCTACTCAGATGAGAATCTATATCCACTTATCCTTGTTATGGAATTCTATCACACTATCAAGATAAAGTGCGGGGTCACAGAACATGTGTTAAACGGATACGTTCATATTATATTATTTCCTGGGAATGATTATCTGGGTAGATTGTACCTGTAGTTATTTTTAGACATTTGTCCCTGTTTGCACTCTGCTAAAACCTTGGGTATAATCTATACAAAGAGTCAAACTGACTTATCCCACTGTACTGTAAGCTTTGTGTCAAATAAACATGCACTGCTGCCATACTCTAAACACTGGAGGGCTTTTTACAGTGTGAATTAAGAGTAAATACTCCTTCAACTTGTTTCTTAAAAATAAACATTTACGTGGGTTGTGTAAGAAAATTCCTCACCTCTTCCAGAGTCCACTGGGGGCCTGGTCTGGGCTGTAGACTGTTGGGTTGACGTAGTATTACAATCACTGTCACAGGTGCTGTGGATCTTGTTCTTTACTTGCTCTCTCCCTGTCACCTCATCACTGACTGCATGCGATTTAAACCCCTCAGCAGTGTCCTCGGGGCTGAGTGAGAAAAGCTTTGAGCCTTTAATTTCTTCAACATTTGTAAGCGTTTCCAAAACAACTGGATCTGTGTACCTCTCTCCACTGTACCCTTGGGCAGTGTCCGCACTGTTTGGGTTAGATAATATCACCCCAGAGTTTTCTTCCACTCTGTCTTTATTAAATTTAATAAGTTCCAGTTCTCTTGTTGCTCCAATACTTTCAAAGCTTATGGGTGTTTCCCAACTATCGTTTTTAGCCATTTCAACATGTGTATTTGTCACTTTATTAATATTTTTTGAGCTGTCTTTATGGTTTGTGTCCATAAAAGAGACTGTCGAGGTGGTAAATAGATTTGTTCCTGGTTCCTTAGATGACTCTTTCTTTAAGGTTGGTGCAGTTGGTCCTTTCTTTCCACTGCTGATCTTGTCCACCTCAAATGGTTGTTGATTGCTGGTATCATCAGTTCCCAAATTAAAAATCTTGCTTTCTTTCCCACCAGTAGGTGAATTCCAGGCTCCGCTTTGCAGATTGTTAGGATCCTCTGTACTCCCAGTCTCACTGTTGTCTCTAAGTTGGTTCTTACTTTGTTGAACCTTATCCAAATCTTGTACGTTACTGGAATTTTGAGACTCTGGTTGTGATTGTGACTCTGTACTGTTGTTTTTTAACCATTTATTGTCCAATACATTTGACCTCATTACCAGCGGAATGGGTTTGATTTCTTCTGTTTGTTCTTGTTCTGTTGCACCAGTGGGACTGGAGAATTGAGTCACTGTGCTTACCTTTGTCTTGAAGTCTCTGGTTGTGTTTGGCTCAGTTTGAAAGTTTGACCTCCTTATATAGCTTGGTCTTATAATTCCAGAGCCATTTTTCCTGGCAATATTGGTATTTCTGACTGGAATTGACAGCTTTGAATGTACCCCAACACTTTTGTTTGCTGACATGTTGTCCATCACATTAAGTTGTCTTAGTTTGTTGACTCTCTGTGAAATCACAGTTGTTGGATGTCTATCGGGGTGTCTTAATGGGTTTGGCATCACATACCTTTTGTTGTCTTGGCTTACTCCACGTATCTTGCTGATGTTTTTCCTGCTGTTCTGAAACGGTCCCTCTCCAGCTGGAACTTTGAGCGGAGTTACTGAAATTCTCCTTGTCCCCTGGCCTACTACTTGTGATTGAACCCTACTGGTCATACTCACTGTACTATCAGTCAATTTACTCTTTGCAGTTGGGACAAAGGTGGGCTTCACCAGATCTTTTTCCGGCAGGGTGGCTTTACCGTGGCTTGGTAAGTCCTTCTTCATAGTGCCTGCACTCAGTGAGTTGACCCCGATATGCTCATTTGCCCCTTCAATGAACGTTCCTGGCTGCATCTGATCTTTAAGATCTGGAGACAGTGGATTAACTGTCCTTTCATTAAAAGTGCTGTCAGCCTTGTCCAAAATTGTGGAAACAATTTGTCTGTTATTTGTTTCTGTAATTGGATTTAGATATTTTACATTTTCCACCTGTATTCCTGGGAAAGTCAAGTCTTCTCTATCCACTTTGGAGCTAATCTCTTCCTCACTACTAATAACTACCAGACTTTCACTCAGTCCCATGTGCCTTTTTTCCTCTTTGACCATGTTTGGCTGTTCGCCTTGGTTCATAATAGTAGAGATTGACTTATTTGTGGCTATGTGACTCACATCACCTTGGTTTTCTTTTCTCAGTTTTGTTGGAAGTCTTATAATCCCAGACTTGTCTACTTTTCGCAAATTGTCCTCCCTAACTTTAGTTACTTGGC